TTTATGACTTGACTGTTAAAGAGATACCTTTTGGTTGAATTGAGTATTAAAAATGAGTATTTTTAAAAATCCAAATACAATACAATACAAACTACCGTTTTAATGGTTGAATGTGATTAAACTGAATACCTTTAAGAAGAGTAGTAAACTTTATACTGTACGTTTTGGGTGAAAAGGGAGATGCCCTGCAGTTGTGCAACTATTAAGCACATTGATAGGGAGGTCCTAGTGTGATAGTGTGGTCAGGAGTGTCTAGTGGTGTGTAACTGCAGAGCTCCACTTGTAGTGATGGATGGCACTGTGCAATCACAGTGCTACATTGGTCAAGCTTTGACACCTCATTTGCTGCCCATCCTACAGACTGACCTCAGACTGAATCCCAGCAGGGCAGCACACATCTTGATAAAACTTGTGTAACAACAGCTTTCACATGAGATGAAAATGTGACATTTATGCCTTGGAAGCCCTACTGGTGAGACTTGAAATCTGTTGACCATTTGCAGAATGAGCTTGGGTTCTTGTGTGTTATCTTGGGCTCAGAGTCCAGTGAACAGATGGGGCTGTGCCAAGAGCTGCATGTGAAGAAGTGTTGCTCTTCAGATCACGAGGAACATTTCTGATATATCTTTGTGAAGGAATGACATTGCTTCATAGATTGTGATCGAGACAGATTATTTGCCTATCTGTGCGTACTTGCAAACTGTAAATAGCTGCAAGCGTTTTTACAATCGAGTGTTTCTCGTGAGCCAGTGAGGTGCATCCCAATAAATTGTCTTTGTAATAAAACATCGATTGTGCTCATTACGTTTTGTGCCAAAAATGCATAGACTGGTTTTGACCTTCTTAAAAAAGTTGCTTTATAGAGATAGATACTGGAACTTACTTCAGCAGTTGCCTTGGCTGCAGTGTAACTTAGGGGATCAGTGGGTATCAAAGCATTTACTTTTAATAGAGAAAAAGATAATGTTGTCTCAGTCATTTTGATTTTGTATGTTTGTTTGAAAGAAATGGGACTTTGTTACCCTGTCCTGATCTGCAGTGTAGAGAGATACACATGCCTGTATGATTTATTTATTCAGGTGGGTATCTGTGTCAGCACGTGTAAGCTGCAAAGGAACAAATAATAGGTTTATTCCATGCTGAAAAGAGAAGAAAGAAAACACAACGTTTTGGCTCTGGAGCCTTCTTCGGGTGATTTATTTATTGCTAATATCACTGAAATGTGAAAGAACTTTCTTTTTAAAAAATTGGCATTTTAAAAATAGGGAAGCAGTTGGTCGTGCTTGAATCCAATAACAACACAATTTGGGTAGCATGGCAGCTTCCGTTTATAAGTGGCTATTTTACAAACTAGTGCAATAAGTAAACTATATAAATACAGTACCTCCGAGAACAAGACATTGTTCGTTGTGCCATAATTTACAAACAGTTCAAATGAAATATCAGAGAAGACGACTGACATGCTGTTGCCTGTATTTTTTCATAATATTAATTTCTAATGTACACTTTAATTTTTGTTTGCTACAACCAACTTTAAGTTGCACTGTATTGAGAGTATGAATAAATTACTGTCTATGAAAGGTAAAGGGAAAATTAATAAAAAAAATGCAGACTGAACTAATTTTGCAAATGTCTTATTTTAACTGCTTGATTTTATATATTATGTGTCATTTCTTAAGGATGTACACATTTCCTGATTTGTCAAAATCAGTTGCATTACGTATTAATGAAGGATAGAGTGGCAACTACATATAGAAGGAAAATTATAAAATAATTTTTACTTCAACAAATATACTTCTTAAGGCTGAGTGCGTTCAGCTCAATTAACCTTACCCTGCGAAACCTTGTTTTAAAGTGCTTTTCACAAAGTCAAAGTGACATGGTCAAATTATGTTTTAAAGTTAAACAAGAAGAGTGTGAAAAATAGCATTAGGCGTTATATGGACAACTGATATAGAACACCAAGCCCCTGACTTCATTGAAAAACACAATATTTTGCAATAGATGTATATAATGATACAAAAATGTAAGTCTATACCACAATGATGTCCAAATGATTGGTTTTCTCTTAGCATTGTTAAATAACACCTTTCGAGGTTTCTCTTTTTATGTAATTATCTTTAAAAAACACATACAGAAAACCCGTTTATTCTGTGGGATTTTGCTTCTGCATCTGTTCTCTTGGCTAACTGTTCCCAGGATATATGAAATAGATTATCTTCCACTAAAAGTCTTTGAGACACAATTTGCAAGTGAAAAATAAACGTCTTTACAATCACAATAAGTGTAAGATACCTAGCTATTTAGCTATGAAACCAGTTGCTCTTGGCATAGCCTTGCTGTTGGCAGTAAGTAGGCTAGTTATTCCTTTTATACAGATGGGCAAGTGTGGTATATTCCCGAACTGACTTTTGTTTCATAAATTGGTTTTCCATCTATTTGTTGATCTTATATTAGGTAGTGACAGTGAAGACTGATGTTACTAATGAGAGCTAAATCCCTGTGGCAGCTATGCAAGACCTTCTGTCTGACTGTAGAGAATCCATTCTTACATCTGATTGACAGGCACAAACCTTTAGCAGTGAGATTAAACATGCTGTGGCAGGATGGCCCTGCAGCCAGAGCAGTGTTCCCAGGAGGGGCCATTCAAGGCCAACGGTACCTCCCTGAGGAGCAGGACACTCGCGTTGCACCGTAGCTTGTCATTTGAGAATATACACTTCATTGAATACTGAAGTGGAATTGGCCCCAGCTGCACAACCATGCAGGATGTGCATAAAGATGCCATTCAGGAAAGAGAGCGGCCAAACCTCGGGCAGTGGCACGTGATCCAAGCCAGCATACCATTGAAAGGAGATGGCAGTTTTGTGCAAAGATGCATTTCTGCACAAGAGTACCACATGGTTGGCACTGGACAGATGTGTGGAAAAGGAGTGTTCTTTGCCTGGTCTGACCATGACATCAGGCGAGCCAGGAAACAGTAGCTGCTTATGCCAGCAGCCATATCACCCTACAACTCACAACTGGCAACCCACTGAAGCTAAGCAGGTGTGAGCCTGGTCAGTACCTGGATGGGAGACCTCCTGGGAAAAACTAAGGTTGCTGCTGGAAGAGGTGTTAGTGGGGCCAGCGGGGGGCGCTCACCCTGCATTCCATGTGGGTCCTAATGCCCCAGTATAGTGACGGGGACACTATACTGTAAACAGGCGCCGTCCTTCGGATGAGACGTAAAACCGAGGTCCTGACTCTCTGTGGTCATTAAAAATCCCAGGGCGCTTCTCGAAAAGAGTAGGGGTGTAACCCCGGTGTCCTGGCCAAATTTCCAATTGGCCCTTACTAATCATGGCCTCCTAATAATCCCCCTCTATGAATTGGCTACATTACTCTGCTCTCCTCCCCACTGATAGCTGATGTGTGGTGAGCGTTCTGGCGCACTATGGCTGCCGTCGCATCATCCAGGTGGATGCTGCACATTGGTGGTGGTGGAGGGGAGTCCCCATTACCTGTAAAGCGCTTTGAGTGGAGTGTCCAGAAAAGCGCTATATAAGTGTAAGCAATTATTATTATTATTATTAGCTGTGGATGGAGACGCTCTTGGTTAAGGAGCGGAACTGCTTTCCTCCCGATGGCAGATATATCTGGGGCAGAAGAGGGGACAATGTGAGGAAATCTGCAGTAAAGTTTAAAGAGCGGACAGAGAGGTAGATTCTTTTTCCTTCCCCTAAACTCACAAGCAGTTTGGGAATGAAGGAAGAGGCCAGTCTAGTTCTTGGGTCTCTGATCTTCAGTTGAAGAAAAGGAGATGCCAGCTCAGCCACCGAGTGAGAGAGAGGCAGGTAGAAAGAGTGCCCTCTTTACAACAGGAGGTAGGAAGCAGACAAATCATGAGGGAAGCCCATTGAATACCCGCCAGTCTCCAGTCTGATCTCCAGGAAGGAACAGAATGAGAACCGCAACCTTACAGGGGAGGAAAAAAGACACAACACTGCAAAGTGAAATGGATGTTACGGAAGGTTTTATGTCCAATTCGGGAAGCTACAGGACCCAATGCCTGCAAAACAGGAGATCTAGGGAAGAGATCTGTTATCCTCCCAGAATACAAGGGCTCTTATTCTGTTAATACACCATAACAAGAATCTGGGGAGTCAGGAGATGCAGACTGTGAGAAGACCTGGTGTGAGTGGTGTTGTGCACTACCTGCTGACGCCTGCACTGTCATCATTATGGCCAGCAGAGCAGTTGACTGAGATATGGATTTTTGGAAGGAATGGCATAAAACAGAATATATGATACAGTTTGTAGAAAAAAGATGAGCCTGTAGCAGTGTTTTGTTGTACTTCCCTACTGGACTGTAATTGTGTTATATAAAACTTAAACTTTTCATGCTTAGACTGAGAGTAGATTGTGTATCTTTGTTGTGCCACCAATTCCATTCATGACTTTATTTTTATTCTGTAGTTTGCTGATAGTTAATTTGTTATTATATATGTTAATACATGGAGAAGCATTTAACTGTTAGTTCAGTTCTATGTTTCATGGCTTAAGCCTTTTGCAGTCCCTAAATATTCTCTCAGAAGCTATGTATCCAGAGGGACCTTGCCTTATTCTGTTCTGTTTATTCTGTGTAATTTTGGTTCTCTTTTTCTACCTTTCTTTCACAACAGACAGGTAATGGTCAGTTTTTTTCATAGCCTGGCCTTTCAGTGCAAATTTATTATAAAGCAGAAGCAGTAAATCCCTAGGAAAGAGCATTATTTGCGTGTTTTTGATATTTTCAGATTTATAAGAGACCATCAACAAAGGAACAGTGAATCCTATGATAGTTTGACTTTTTTGTTTATCCACGTACAGTATACGATTTTCCTTTTAATGGGAGTATATGTGCTTTTGATGAAATTCTAAAAGTTGTGCTCACAATATTTAAGAGAACAGATCCTGCTTTTTTCAATGTATTTTTCCATTCTATAATGAAAATGTTTTTTTACTATCTTTCTTTGCAGGCACCCTGTTTCTTTTTTCTCCCAGGACAGTTTATATGAAGTTCAGCTCCCTAAAGTGGACAAAGAGTCCCGAGAGATCTTTGAGAACCACATCCGGGTGGGTCGAGGCCTGATACAGACACTGTGCCGGGAAGATGTTCTGATGTACAGGGAGTATATCAAGAACAGATACATGTAGCAACAGAACCATGAGTAGAAACAGATCGAGCTCATTCGATATGCATCTTATTGGCATAAGGCTGCTGATTTGTGTGTGCACGCTCAGCTAAGAATCTTCAGCCCAGCACGCCGTCTATTTTGACATTAAACACCATGGATGTGTTTATATGCCCCATGTCTGGATTCTAGACAGAAGGTCATCATAAGCCACACACGGGTGTGTACAGAAGAGTCTGGCAGTAAATCATCCCAGTGCAAGCACATCAGATCAGTATTCATTCAGCAATCATTTTGGATGAGAAACTGCTAATCTGTGTTGTAGCACTTTAATTATGTAATTGCTATAATTTTGGCTGCTTTTATGTTGTTTAAACAGCAGGGGGATGGGACCTTTTGAAAGTGGTGATTTGAATCTCGGCAGTCAGTAGAGTGTTGGAGCCAGGGTAAAGAATGATTGCTTATGTACACTGTGAATGGCAGTAAATAATTTCTTTACAGGTCACAAATGTAAATGTATCAAAAAACTGCCAAAGAAGATTTATTTCACTTAACTGTATGTATATCTATAAGTTAATTGGAATGTCAATAAAAGTTCATTCTTTAAGACTAAAATTGAAAAGTGCTTATGCAGTGTAAGAGTGTGTGTATTGTATATACCATGTTTGTTTAGCTATTTATTTGCATGTACCCATATCACAAACTCCTCTGGCTTCCGATGATTTTTTTAGCGTCTTCTCTTTGAGTGTTATCAGATGTGGGGATGTTCTCCACAAACAGACTTCCATTGCATTATTTTAATTTGATTTTGGCATCTATGAATCTACTAATTTGTGCTTTTTTGTGTCTATTTTGTGTCTCTGTGTGACTATTTAGCATTGAAGATTAAATAAAACTTCAGTTGGGAAAGTATTTACCCGATTTACAGGAAGGCGTCTTTGAATTAAGGTTTTGTACTTGGTATGTTTTATAGAGCTAGCAAACAAACAAACAAAAAAGGCTTTGCTCCTAGCCCTGAAATGACTTATTCTGCAAGCATAGCACTGCTGAGAAAGACACTTTTGAAAGGTCATCCAGGTTTCTGTTCTGAACTTCTTTCAGAGGGCTTGCAAAACTCATGCTTGGCTGGCAAGCTGTGGAGAGCAGGTGTAAGCCAATGTGAGGAGATGACTTTCCACAATCATGCTGCTAACAGTAATTCGCTGCGTTGTCCTCACCAAAGGAGTCATTGCACCCTGCCTCGTGAGCTGTGAGGATCAAACAGGCTCCTAGAGGTCCTCACTCTTCTGTTTGAAAGCACAGCTTTTTTAATGAATGAACTGCTGAAGCACATCTTAGTAAATGCAGTTGATGGATGGCCACTTTCATCTCAAGTGTAGGTGATGCTGCAGCAGCTGCCAAGGAGACAGATACAGAAGGATCACTTTCTGTGGAATTACATGAAAGGGCAGGGTAAGAGTTCTAGCATAGCGGGAGGAGCGTTGGGTCTACAGGGCATTTCATTTTTTAACTTAATTGTCTCAGAGAGAAAATGATGATAAACAGAAGGATTCACAAAAAAAAGACTGTAGTTTGCTCAATTTTTCAAAAGAGATTTTTTTTTAGTGCCATAAAGGCATATTATTTACCCTTATATCTCAAGTGTGCTAAAACCGTACAAACATTTATCCCCCATGAAATGCTGTGCTGTTCAAAGACTTCATTCCCACTGAAGAAAACATTATTGAGTCTGAAATATTGCATAGCCTGTAGAAAGAAAACAAATCCTATTTTTTGCAAGCCGTGTTATTCTGAAAGTTTAGCTAAGCAATTGCATTACACCTATGTCCAGTTCCTGTATTTCATTGCTCCCAGACCGCTTAGAAACCCACTCAGTCCTAGCCAGTTTCGATACGAGGCTTTATAAAAGAAGTGATTTTATCAGGTGTTCGATATTAGCAATGACTTGTTTACCACCTTGACCACATCGAGGCAAGAAAGAGCGTGGTCAAGTGCTGCACATGTCAATCTTGTTCTAACAAGCTTATCTAATTCTCGCCCCTCTCCTTTCCTCCTGCTGAAGCTAAAATGAAAGACAGGGCTGAAATGAGCACGTACATCAAAGCCATCGTGGGAGATGTGCAGTGTAAATGTTAGAGATCATAAATGCTGGACTGGTTACAGCCATATCCGTTTTTATGTCCAGCAGTGAAACATTGGCAATAGCCGGTCTGTTTTTGTTTGGGATGTACTGTTTGTATTTGGTTTTTAACTGCATTCTGCACCGGCCTTGTGTCATTGTGACATGTTCGTTGAAAAGGAAGCCTCGAGAAGGAATAACTGTACTTTGGAGATTATTTACAGATCTGAAAACAGTAGCTGCCCTATGCATAGCAGGGTTTGTGAGTTGAAAAGGTAATGTTGAAAGTAAAGCAAATTGCTGTGTTCAGTGTAAAATGCAGAAATATAAATATAGCACATTAACAGTCCAAAGCAAAAGATATTTTTGCAAAAGACCTCTAAATCATGTTTCTGTTGTCTGTGGCTGAGAAATGAAAATGAATATTTACATCTACTGTTGAAGTTATATTGAAAATTCCTTTCTCCAGAGGACATACAAGAAGCAACCAGGGTTGCTAGGATACCAGGAGGCTATCTGAAACAGTGACTAGAATATTACAGGGTTGAGGTATTGTACTAAAACAAACATTAGCAACAATTCTAATACCGAGATAGAATCTTAGGTTTGTTTCAAAACTGTAAATTACAACTAAACAACAAGAAAATTATGTGAATATAGAAATAAGTCAACAAATCACTAGCACCGATTGTGAAAAAGCAGTAGCATATTATTTTATGTAAAATAATATATAATCCTTGAAATGAGGTAGAAATTATCCTGACTAATTTACACTTGATTCATATGAGACTGTATGTCATTGTTACTTTTTACAAGCATTGCAGATCACTGCCAACAAGAACAGGCAGACAACATTTTGAAGTAAAAGAACTCTTGATGAAATTGTGTTGCAGACTCTGCTACCTACACATTTTTTGCAGTCCTTATTTCACCATTTCCTTAACTCATCTTCGTCCTTTCACGTCCTCGCCTGTTCCTGAGCTCCACTCAGCCAGAGCTAAGCAGCATTCAAATTAACAGAAATGGAGGAGCTTGAAATTGGTACTGTATCTGCCTTGGTCCTCCATCTCAATTTTCTCATATCCTTCTTGTCGGAACTCACCTCTGCCACACTTTCCTATTTTCCATCTGTCATCCAGTCTCTAGTCACCAACCCCTGCCCCTACTGTACGTTGTTTCAGTCTCTCTCTCTCTCTCCCTCCTGTCCTACCAGGCTTTCTCTACCCCCTCTCCATTTTCCCCACTTCCAAAGCCTGTTCATTCTCCACCATCCCCCTCAGTGGAGTGAGGTAGCCACAGACATCAGAATTACCCTCGGAAACGGGGATGGCTCAGTCCTTGAACACCTTTGTTACCTGATGAGTCTAAGACCCACCTGTTTAGACAACAGCTCTAACCAGTCACCTCTCAACTACATCCTTCGCTGTCTCTTATACTGGGTTGCCTTAATTATTTTAGTTCTAATATTGATAGTATGATTTCTTATTCTTCATAAGTATGGAGCACATACCAACAGAGTGTCTGTTACTATTTTGAATTTACACTTCCTACAATACATATGTATATACTGTATGCTTGATGTTTTTTGAGAAGGCATTTGTTGCACTTGCATTGCAGTTGTCAACTCCATGCTTGCATTAATGTCAGTTTATTTTATTGTACTTACCTGTTCATCACATTTGTTTCCCTTGCACTTATGTTTTCATATAAAACTTGATGACACTGCAGGTCATCCAGAGTGTGTACAGAGTTTTAATTTTTCAGCAAAGGTTTTCAGCAAAGCTTATATGCAGTTTGCTCCCAGCAGCCCTAATACATCTAAATTCTGAACTGATTTTTTTTTTTTTGCTGCATTGCATCAGAATATATTGTTGAAACAATATTGAAACTGAAACTCTAGACATATTAAAAGGCCTGATAGTATCCACAAAAAAGATGGGAACAGTGAGACAGTGTATTTAGAAATTACTTTTTTATTATTAATTTTGATCATCACTATAACATGATGCAGTGTAACCAAAATAAAAGTGGAAGTGATTGGCACTCAGGTTTTTAGAATTTTATATATTCATGTCTTAACAATAAATTATTCTCATTCTCTACAGTTCTTTTAAAACAAAAAAAAATATTGACTACAATTCTACATGTGTGACTTCTAAAGTAAGAGGTCTTTGACTAAATTACTGTAGGTCTTGTGGGTTTTTTTTCGTGGTGGGTGTGGATTTGAGAATTGCACTTGGTCCATGCATTTCCCCTGCTGTATCACACACCCTGTTCCTTATTAATGAAGTTATATATTACCATTACTTTGTTTTCCAACTCCATTCCCTACTTCACTTTTTCAAATGCCTCATAGAACTAAAAGACAATTTAGGGACATAAGACTGAGTTATCCAATCACAATCAGACCAACTCAACATGATTCCTGGTCTTATTCTATATTCCAACTTAAGAAATACAGTAGAGTTTTCTTGCATGGAACGGAATCATTATTTCATGAGCCATTCAGGAATACTGTACTATACATACATTAAGTACAGTACTGTGCTGTGCTTATTTCTTACCTAAGCTGTCCACTACCACCAGCTAAGGCATAACTAACTCTTGTCCTCACATTGTAACATAACTCAATACCTCCATTGCTGTGTAGTCAGTGTTCATAGCCCAGAAGTAAAACTGAGGATGGTTCACTGTTGTCTGGGTAACATCCTGTTCATTCTGGCAAGAGCTGCCCGCCTACTAAACAACTGTAGTGAGAGTGTCTCAGAGAAGGAACAGCGATCTTTCAGGATGTGCGTGAGGTTAATGCCAGGTACACAGGAAAAGGCAACTGGAGTGCAGAGAGCAGGAACAGGAAGCAGAGGCTCAGCTGAAACACACAGGATTTGGTGACCAAGAAGCAAAGTACAAAAGATGTTAGAGCAGAAGAGACACACAACAAAGAGAATCCTGTGGGGGTATAGGAATAAGATTTAAAGTCATTACTGCTTTTCTGCCACATAATTTTTAGACCCCTTGTGTAAGGATTTTGAAGCTATCCCTAGCAAAGTGAAACACTTAAAAGGACTGATACTGGTGAAGGATAGCGCACTGTCCAACTATCTGAACTTTAAATACAGATGACACAGGCAACTTAGATTGGTTTAAGGAGTAGGAGGTGTCATTTGATGAATCAATATTAGCCTTCTGTACCCCACAGAATTTGCAGTCCCACAGTCGCTTGCCTGGAGAGTCATATGCTCTTTGCAGAGCGACGGAAAGGGCTTTCCTCCTTCTTCATGTAGCTGAAAATAACCCAGCTTTTCAGTTCCAAACCGATTGTTTAAACTGTATGGGGAACAGGGGGCACTGGGTACCTCACTCTGTTAAAACACTGGAGTAGATAAGCGTATGTTTGAGAAGTAAAGTCCTGTTTCTATCGAAATTCTGTCATCTTTCTTGATCTGTTATTATAGGTTTTCTTTATTTCTGAATATTTCAGCCTCTTGTACTGCATATAAGTTGCCCACATTGAACAGCTTTATTCAGTTAATACCGCAATGCATTTGCTTATTTACAATACCCAAGATATTATAAAAACACTTAGAAATGCGCTATTCTGAACATTAGTTCACTGTCAGTCTTGAAACGTGTCCTAAGGGAAGCCAACAACGCCAAATGTGTAATGCGTTTTGCCATATACTTCAACTGTAACGAAGCCTGAATCTATTAACACAGCCATTTGTGTATTTACATCACGTGGACTTCTCCTGTGCAAATTTGCCGACTTTAATAACAATAATCACTTAAAGTGATGGGTGTGTTCTAAATCCTAAATTAAATTCTTAGAAAATGTGAATACCGCAGCTGCAGCACCGAAATTAATTCCCTAGAGAATCAATCTTCATCGTGTTTTTCCCATCTTCTTATAGCTATTTTTCTTAACGACCATGTGATCGCAAGGCGCTTTCCAGATTCTCTCCGTGCATTGCATTTGACGTCATTAGGGTTTATTAGCAGTCTGAGCACAGACACCAACATCAGTAACACTCCATTCTCTTTTCCACTCGGTGAAGAGTCTGCAGTCCCACTCTCCGCACTCCCCTTCTCTCATGCATGGTTACAGTATTTTGAATGCGGGATGCCTCCATTACTCAAAAACAGACTATACGGCAGTTCGTGAAAAAAATCCGCTGTTACTTGAAGCATCAAAGAACTTTATGAAATTCTACGTTTACATGTGCAAAACCAGGTAAGAAATGAATCTGTTATATTGTTCAAGTGTGTAGAACACACTTGCATTTGCGATGTATTTTTATCTTATTAAAATAACTGCTTATAACTACATTGCTTATAATGTTTCGATTGCAAATGAGACCTTTGATTTATAAAATGCTGGAGCCCTGGCTGAACAGTTTCAGCACCATGGCTAGCGCTGTTGGTGTTTAGTTGGTTTTGACGCCTTTATGCAATTCCACGCATTAGTAGAAAGCATTGTTTTGTTTTTGTTTTCCTGCTTCCTCTTTAAGTTAAAAATACAATTAAAAGTCTTTACATCTACTTTGTTTACTAATACTATATAGTTCCTAATATTTTAGGAAAGCATTTTTTTTAAATCTAGAGAAACGAGTATTTACTATTACTGTTTACATTTTACTATGACTGCATTATCATCTACTGAACAGGTTTGAAGCATTCTGTCGACTCTGCCGTGACTTTTACTTTTAAACAGTTCAAAACGGTCATTGCCACTTTGTTTCAAAGTCTTAACATTGGCAGCGTTTGTTTATAATGACCAGTTTCTCGAAACATGGTCATCTCAACTTTGGCACTCCCCTGGTGAACTGAATTTAGAAAGTAACCTTGTTTCTTGGTTTTTATTTCTTTCTCTAGGATCGGCTTACTTTGAAGAGATGAATGGAAGCCTGGCGTCAAATGAAACGGCAGCGCCAGCCCCGTGGATAGAAGCTACCGATGGCAACAGTACCTTGGAGCTTTCTTCTGAGCTGCTGGACTTCGCCATTAACCCCTGGGACATCATGCTGTGCATATCAGGAACTGTGATTGCCTGCGAAAATGCGATTGTTGTTGCCATAATATTTTATACGCCGACTTTAAGAACACCCATGTTTGTGCTAATCGGGAGTCTTGCGACTGCAGATCTCTTGGCAGGAATGGGATTGATATTGAACTTCGTATTCCAGTATTTAATTCCCTCCGAAACTATCAGCCTCATCACAGTAGGGTTTCTAGTGGCCTCTTTCACTGCCTCGATCAGCAGCCTACTGGCTATTACGGTTGACCGCTACTTCTCTCTTTACAACGCGCTGACTTACTTCTCGGAAAGGACAGTACTCTACATCCACATGATGCTAGTCATTACCTGGGGTGTGTCCTTGTGTCTGGGCCTCCTGCCCATTCTGGGATGGAACTGTCTGGACGAGCCACTGTCCTGCAGTATTGTCAAACCTTTGACCAAAAGCAACGTGACTTTGTTGGCAATCTTATTCTTTGTTATATTTATGATCATGCTACATCTGTACTTCAAGATCTGCAAAATAGTGTGCAGGCACGCCCACCAGATTGCTCTCCAACAGCACTTCTTCACTGCTTCGCACTATGTGGCCACAAAAAAAGGCGTCTCGACTCTTGCCATTATTTTAGGGACTTTTGGAGCGAGCTGGCTCCCTTTTGCCATTTACTGTCTCGTTGGCGAACGCGACTACCCACCTGTATACACTTACGCTACTCTTTTACCAGCTACTTACAACTCCATGATCAATCCTATAATTTATGCTTACAGGAACCAGGAGATCCAAAGATCAATCTTCGTTCTCTTCTGTGGTTGTTTTCAAACTAATGTGTCTTATCGTTCAAGATCTCCAAGTGAAGTCTAAGTGACCTGTGTTGGCTTGTAACTGTGTTGCACAGCGACAATCTGCTTTTCGATTCATTGTGCCTGCTAGAGTTTAAGACGAAACGTGTAAAGAGGTGTATCGCATTGGCACTTTACCTTAGTGTACTTCTGAGGGCAGAGAAAGGTCAAAATTACTGTGAACGAAGTAGTTTTCTTGAATCGTACATTTGCGATGTGAATGTATTCTAAATACTACTAAAAAAGGAAGCACTTTATTTTCTTAACTGCCAAAACAGTGTTGAATACCTGTAAAACGTCGTACTTCGTACTTGCCAATACTGATGGTCCGTTTTGTATTTTGTAAAATTGCCAAATATATGTATATTTTATACGAAACGGAAATAAAAGCAAAAGGCTGAAATTCCTTTGCCTCGAGTGTGTAATTTACTCTTGCTCAAACCTTCGTTTGAATTTTAATTACCCTTAACCATCTTAACATTTGGAATCCAATAAATATCGCTGTGTAGCTCCACAAGATCTTAAACAGGTGTCATCACGGCTGTCTGGTCTTTTTTGTTGATATTTTATTTTAACTCAAGTACCGTGGGTGTGCCGAATTTACTGCAGGAAAGAAGGTTTTATCACAGATTGCACGCAAATACCTATGTTTTCGATCCATCAACATTAGAGGTCAGAGGATGCCCAGTACATACACTAGTGTACACGTTTATATTTCTTTGTATGTGTAAGGAATATGACAGGAATGTTTAGCTGAATATTTATGCATTCGCTTTAAAAATATTAGGTCCAGTTCCGGATGAATGAAAGCGCATCAAAGTCACCCGTACTACAGTATATCAAAATAACCACGCCAATATATTGAATTCAGTTGTGCTCCTTGATTTAAGAAATAAGAAAAAAGAGCAGTTTGTCTTCATTTCTGTTGGCCAATTTTATCGATAGTTGTAAATACAGACGTTTTAATCTGTTGAGGAGTGTATAACTGACGTCAGCGGAGCTGGAGAACGCTGTCTCTCATTTGAAAGCAGTGTGTGATCTGCAGGGAAACCTGAACGGAATACCTAACACCTGAATGATACACGCCGTTAGGGGTATTGTAGTCAGATACAACTACAAAAGAAAAAAAAAGAAAAAAATGTTTTTTGACGAAATGAATTCAATCAGATATTCTCATATATGAAGCTCGATTTACGGAACTTGCAAGGTGTTCTGCAGGTTATCATGAAATCCTAAAATGAGTCGCAAATACTGTACACACACTAAACTTAAAGCTGTTAATGAATACGTTATAATATTAGATTCTAGCTAAACGGTGAGCCCAGTAATTTCTGTTTTTGTGAACCTCCTTATCTTGATGAGTTTAAGTCTGTCCTAAACAGAACAAAGTAAAGACAGAGCCAGCCGTGCAACACAACAGTTGTGCAGACAGCTAAATAAAAGTGGAATGTGTTTACAAAGTCAGTTGGCTGATTCAGATGACAGTGGAGCCTGAACCAAAACAAGCTGGTCCACATATAAATGGGAACGTATTTCTATGGACTGCCACAGTGGGCACTGGACCTTTTCAGTTCCTGTACACTATATCCTTCCATTCATTTGAGCCACTGTGGCCTTAAATATCAGTACCTCCAGTTTCACCAAGTGGTGTCTTCTTAGTGTACGAAGGGTATGAAGAGAAACCAGCTTCATGTAATGACAGGGGACAGCTGCAAGTGGTGATGGTGGACCCGTAGGTGGCCCTATTCTCTCGGGACCAGAATTTTCACTGAATTGCCCCAACTCACCCCAACCACTTGTGGTTATTCATAGATCCAAGGGCATTGTTCGTAACATTATGGGTGACAAGCCATCATACATAAACCCATACTGGGTGGCTGCCATGTATTAGTACTAAAATATGAACAAAACATCAGAAAGGGTTATGGATTGGAAAATGTGTGTGATTTATAAAATTCACACAATGCTATACTGTATATATATTAACATCACACAGAAGAAAGTTGTATCTGTTACACATAATTGAATGCCACACAACAAGAGCCCCTAAGTATCCCTTTAAGTAAAACTCAATAAAAACAAATATACAATGAAATTCTAGCCTTTGGAAGAGTAACAAAGCCTCTGGAAATGAACAGTAAAAAGGTCTCTGTAGGTTTACTGTCTCCCTGGGGTATAAAAGGTGGTAACACACAGAATAGTGGTAACGCTCGTCAATAGTACGTACCATCAAGTTGACGACTTCAGGCAAGCAGTCGTAAAAAAAGGAAGTAAAAAAATGGAACAAAACAAGGATAAAACAGTGCGACACAACAACTGTACAGACAGCTAAATAAAACTAAGGGATGTCTATAAAAGAATTTACAAAAACCTGAATCCACCACTTTCCACTGTAGTGTCCATTATTAATAATTATAAATCTTCAATACACACTGGTACTTTTAGGATACAAAGTATTGAACCTGTCACCTGCATGATGTGACATTCATTGCTGGTTGCAAGTATAAAGCATCTTCTAAGGTCAAATCATGAAAAGAGGATACTCAAACTTGCCAAAACATCTTTTGTCTCATTTCAAGGATATCTCATGGTCAGATTAAATGAAAATTGAGCTTCTTGAACATGGTCATTAATGTTTTGTTTGGCAAAAAAAAGCTGAAGCTGTCGAGAAAAGCCCAATGTAAACTCTTGTGGAGTTTTTTTTTTAATACTTTGGGGTTCTTCTGCATCTACATATCCTGGACTCCCTGTCAAGATAAGGAAATAATGAACTCCAACATGAATCTGGGCATTTTAGCCAGGCTCCTGTTTTTTCTGTGAGGAAGCTCAGGTTTGGTCCCTAATAGCTGTTCCAACTTAACAATGATCCAAAGCATGCATTCATATCAACACAGGAATGGTTAATTGCACACAGATTTTTTTTCACACAATCTCTCAATCTCTTGATGTTAAATCAGCAGAATATTTAAGATTCTAACTCCAGATGAAAGGTCACAAATGGAAACTGAAGGGCCTCAAGGACTTTGAGCAATTCTACATGGAGGAATGATCAAATTCTTCGTCTCTGAAGCAAAATCTCCTGAGTGTCGTGTATTTTGGACTTAATGATTTAAAACTTTCATAATGACTTTGCTCTGTGAAAAGTTATTAATGTTACTTTATAACATTTTTTTAGCAAGGAACATTATCCAATCTATTTCCAGTCTTGCCTTTATTTGATGTTTCTGTTTCATCGGGGTCTATCACACCCTGGCTGGGAGTGGCTCGCATCAGGAAGCCAGCTAGATGACAACATGTCTCTCTCCCTAATGGCACAATGGCCATTATAACATTATACCATAGGGAGAGAGACATGATGACGTGGTTTTTCTCACGATAGCTTCCCTCCAGCCAGACCTAAGGCTATGCTTCCTGGCAGTCTTCTCCCACTGGATCAGACATCTCTCTCAGCTGCTATGCTCCAGCCAGTTATCTGGCTCTAATTCCAATCAGCTCTACTCCTACAGTAAGTACCTTTATTCACAGCTGCTTTGCTCTACAGCACTACCTCCTAGAAGCCCTCTTCCAGCCAATTAATCACGGTGCTTTCAAGACAGACCCTCTACTCTGGTCCTGTCCACTTGCCTACCTTTCCTTCTTCTGCTCCACTTGGTTTGCTTCATGGAGACACGAAGCCCTGCACTTGATCTCTGACTGCCAGCCTGCCACAGCAATACTTGGGGTGTACCTGCAGTGTAACATAGTATGAATAAAAGTTGAGGTGACCGTATAACCCATCTTCAAAATTTTAACAAAGTTATACAGAAACAGGAAAAAGGTTACCATACTAATTTTGCACTTCCGTTTGCCTGCTTATATAAGTCTCACACTCTGGACTTTCTGACACACACCATCGCATTCAAACATGTCTCGCATTTGGCGTTTCCTAGACCTTACCTTTATTGCACTTATCAAAGATCGGAGTCCCTTTCGCCTCTTCAGCCTCAGTGCTTCACTTAATGATAGCAGCTCTGCACTCTTCATACCTTCGACATTTTCTTTCAGGTCTCCTGATGTCATCAAACCCTCAGACTTTCTCAGCAGCTGCCCCCGCAGCAGTAGACCTCATAATACTTGCTATCTATGAATTGGCTATATTACTCTGTTCCCCTCCTCACTGATAGCTGGTGTGTGGTGAGCATACTGGTGCACTATGGCTGCCGTTGCATCATCCAGGTGGGGCTACAGATTGGTGGTGGTGGAGGGGAGTCTCCATTATCTGTAAGCACTTTGAGTGGAGTGTGTAGAAAAGCGCTATATGAGTGTAAGTATTGTTATACGTTGCTAACATTACTCCCTTTTTGGGGATTTAGTTCAAAATTCAATCCTATCCAGAAAACATCTGCGAGCAGCATCTCTCTTCTGTGCTCTGCATCTGGCAGCTGTTCCAGGTCAGTAGCTCTTCAGGTCGACAGCATCTTCCACCGTAGCTACAGAATACCAGTCTCAAACTAGTACCTCCTACTTCCCATCAAGCTACTCTTCTGGCTCTCAGCATCTTGCGCTGTTTGCCACTTCCTCATCACCTACTGTACCTCCACACGGGTACTTCCACGTCTCAATGGCAACCGACACAAATACAATGACATCATTGTTGTAACATTGTAAATATGGCATAGCTGGAAACAGGAAACTGAAGGAAAATAACATCTTACTCATCTGCAAGCATCAGCAAGTGGTCCCTATTTCACTGTTCACTGACTCGTGATCCGGCAACCACAGCCTGTATACTTCTCAAACCCATGCAAGTGCTCATACTTGTGCAAGCTTGCATCTTACTGGATCTGTCGCTTGTCACATGTGTGCACTTCAGCTAAAAAATCAGTTTCAGCGATTCCGCAGCTGACCTGACTTACTCTTAGTTCAGCAACTTGAATTCTGCATTGTGTGTTCTTGGGGATTCTTTTGCTGGGTCTGGGCAGCCTCATCGTGATGGCGAGGAGGCCAAAATTTCCTCACCCAGTCAAGCCACACTATATATATTCTGCATACCAAGCCTCATCCTTGTGGTAGTGCTACCATTTACTGTACCTGAGCCAGGCTGAGGTATATCAGAGTATATCTGCTCTGCATATCTAGTCTCTGTTGCCTTCATTATGATCTAGCCAGACTACTGAAATAACATTTGTTTTACTTGCTTTTAATAAATGAAGAGGAATGTTATTCCCCTTGGGAACTCCTCCCTGTGTGTCCTGGTAAAAGGTCTTCAGCAGCATAAAATATGTATGGTGATTCCTTGCAATGATTAAATAAGTCTTCAACATGCATCATTTATTTTCCTTTAAATGAAACAAAATCTTTTAAGCTGGACCTGTGGATGCTACATCCAATGGGGAACCACAACAACTCTAGATTT